ATGATCATGGCGTTGGGCATGGCTTTCGGCATGAACACGGGCTACGCTGTGAACCCTGCGCGTGACTTGGGTCCACGCATCTTCACGGCCATCGCCGGCTGGGGCTCCAAGGTCTTCACCATTCGAAACTACTACTTCTGGATCCCGCTCGTCGCCGACTCTCTGGGCGGAGTGTGCGGCGCAGGTCTGTACCGCGTCTTAGTGGAGATGCACCACCCGCAGCCTCAGCCAGAGCTAGTGTAGGCGAGCTGACAGCATCGGTCGGTTCTACCTCATTAGATAGAGCGGTAGTAGCCACCAAGCAAGTGTAATATAGGGGTTCAACGAGTTAATTGTGTTTGTTCTAGATTTGTTCGTATGAATTCGAGTTGGTATTTTCTCAGGCTCGCTTGTGTCCAAACGAGGTACACACAGTATGTCACTGTATGTCTTACACTGTGTGGAACTTGAGCTGGCGTTTTCGCATTGTACTTCTGAAATGTGCTGTCAAAGCGTTGAAAACCAGTTTCGAGCATTCGTCTCTAACAGTAAGGTGCTACTACTATTAAAATCAACGTTTGTGTTCGCGATTGACAGTTGCAACTTTTACTAAAAAAAGCCTTTGACGTCATTTCCTTCCGTAGGCGTTTGAAGATCATCGGAATGTTGAAGATCTGCGCAGAACTTACCTGTCGTCGACTCAAACTGAGCGATACATGCTGTCGCTACGTAAATCGAAAGCGCTATGTTAAACCCGAAGTGTTTTGCGCTGCGTGTTTCATTTTGCGGGTTCTTCCAAAACAAAAAAGTGAAGTCAACTGTCCTGCTTCCAATAGAGTTGCTTTCGAAGAAAGGAGCATAACATCCTACGAAGGACCTCCATCGAAGCCATGACGGGAGCTCGAGGGCCTTGTTCGAGCAATTGCTAATGTCTTGGATTGCAGTGTGCAACTGTCGAACTGGTTACAAGTACAGTTTTTTTTAGTGATTATGATCGAGAAAAATCGTGTTTGCTCGCGGACGGATCAGGCACAAAAGAACCGCCTGAATGGCCGCAAAATTACGAGCCCATCGCAAACCGAATGGAAGTGGATCGTGTGCGATTCGCGTGGTCCGTGTCAATGTGCTGCCAAAACCGCCGAATCGGCATGCCATCTGACACTGTATTCGTGTTAGACACCCTGAGCAAGCAAAGCTATAGCGGACTCTGACTTGTGTTGACAGCACAATAAGATTCACTCACTGAGTGCGTGAGTCACTCCGATTATTGAGAGACTCTCACCCACCAGTACTGTACGACCCTCCCCGGCGTGTCCTCTTGCTGCCGAATCACGACTCCCATATATCCATCTATGAAAGAGGTAACGCTTTGAGCACTGACTATTTGTTGGTATTAGCGCTTAGCTCTTGGCGTATTGAACCACTCTTCGACAGTATTTGCACGACGACACAGTACTGTTGAAGTTACGGAAAATCGACCGTTGTCCTCTTGTAACTTGCTACACGTAGGTGTACCGGTAGTTCGCTCGACAGTCTCAAACGAATCGATGGTAAATACTAGTCGAGCTAACAACCCTCTGTCATAGATGCGGCGCAGAGTCACCATGTTCGCTTGCTCAGAAACTGAAGTGCTCATCCACATGCCACTCTCAACAATGCCTCGTCATTTCCAAGGGTTAATCTTAAGCTGCAGCGATACGGTCCCGTTGGCAAAACGTGATAGAATGCGAAGGCCGATAATAAACGCCCTACAGCACAACGCAGCTCCAACGTGTCGCGGGTGCCAGTTTCTAATCAAATATCTGTCTGCTTATTGGAGGTAGGACTTTGAATCGGTCTATCGATCGGTTGGTGATGACTTGAAATTAGTCCAGCCGCGCTCCAATAAACGCTGTCGGAACTGTCACAATACGAGCCAGCTTCCAGCCGACAGCATGGGCTCGACGAGCATGTTTGCGCTCGAGCTGGATTCGCCTATCTCTCGCCGCAAAAGAAACGCACCAAGCAAATCCAAATGCTCACCAAGCAGAAAAAATCGCTATGAGTGATTAATCTACGATACGCCTTGTATTAAATATTAATACATAGTTAGTCGCAATTGACCGCGACGGTCGCCTTCAGCCTTATTCTACATTTCACCACCAATTGATCAAGTCACCAACCACTCTCCACCTTCACCGTGACTAGTTAGCTGCATTTCTTGCATCCGACACTTCTACACAAGTCACCGGTTCTCCATACTGCACTCAACTACCATGACTTCCAAGCAAGACACCTCCATTCCCGTTTCGTACGACGAATTGGTCGACAAGATCGAGACGGGTTACGTCGACGCACTGAACACACCGAAGCTCGCTTCTGCTTCGCTAGGCAAGCCTGTCTCACCTTACGCCGTGCAGAGCGTGCACATGCGCGAGTGTTTGGCCGAGTTCCTCGGCACCTTTGTCATGATCATCTTCGGTATGGGCGTCAACAACCAGGTCGTGAACTCCGAGGAGAAGAACGGCACATGGCTCAGTATCAATATGTGTTGGGGCGTGGCCGTACTTATCGGTGTCTATTGCTCGGAAGGCATTAGTGGTGCCAACCTGAACACCGCCGTGACACTGGCGCACTGCGTATATGGCCGTCTGCCGTGGTGGAAGGCACCGGGCTATATGGCGTCCCAGTTGTTGGGAGCCTTCTGCGGAGCCTTCATCATCTACGTCATGCAGTACCAGAACCTCAACGTCATCGACCCGTACTGCGAGACCACACAGAGCAGCTTCGCCACGTACCCGAGTGACAACATCTCCAACTACACAGCCTTCTACACCGAGTTCATCGGTACAGCTATGCTGGTGCTTGGCGTGTACGCTATCACGGATAGGCGCAACAAGTCTGCAGGTCCCGTGGGCTCCCCCTTCGCCTTCTGTCTGCTCATCTGGGCTTTGGGTATGGCGTTCGGCATGAACACGGGTTACGCCATCAACCCCGCTCGCGATTTCGGTCCTCGTCTCTTCACGTGCATGGCCGGGTGGGGCACCAAAGTGTTCGCGTTACGTAACTACTACTTCTGGATCCCGATCGTGGCTCCGCTGTGTGGCGGCGTGGCCGGCGCGGGTCTGTACCGCGTGATGGTGGAAATGCACCACCCGCAGCCATTACAATAAGTGTCAGCGTTGATTGAAAAGCACCCCGCCAGCAGGAGTTTAGACTGCAACTTCACGGAATAGAGTTCACATTTTGTTTTTAATGTTTTTTTTTCAGGATCGCTCTTACGGCAAATACGTTTCAGTAGTTCCCTATTTTATGGTTGCATCCTCAGCCAACACATATCTAGGATTTACTTTTATTAATACCACTACAACTAGTATATTTGATACGTCATGCAGGTTTATCAATGGTATGGTGACGTGTGGAGTGAAAATGGTTGTCAATTCCTTGGTCGATGCAACCAGAGGATCTCCTACAGCTTTTAGTTAAGTTAACGTTAGGGTACAAAGAACTTAACAATGTAGGAAGGAGAATCCTTAGGACTCCAATCCTATAATTGTAGTTTTTAGTTGCTGTATGCAAGTGTTCGAAGCATACGAACAAGAACATCTATATATTAAACTCTGTTGACCCACTATCTCAGAGCTGGAGTGGCTGCGGAATGGGCGGGTGGTGGATCTCCACAAGCAAGCGGTACAAGCCAGCACCAGCAACACCGCCCAAGAGGTCAGCCACGAGCGGGATCCAGAAGTAGTAGTTGCGTGTCGTGAACACCTTCGAACCCCA